AGCAGCAGAAGACCACACCAGGTGCCACTCCTGTCACCCAAGAACAGGAAACTGAGGCTACAATTCACACGGCTCACTAAAATTGGACAATAGAAAATTATAAAAATGTTGCCTGGTCTGACGAGTCTCAATTTTGCATGGTACAGGTTCCCCTGTATCAACATTTCAGGCTGTTGTGGTGGTGTGAGGGTTATATTCTTGGCACACTTTGGGCTCATTAGTACCAATTGAGCATTGTGTCAACACCACAGGCTACTCGAGTATCCCTTTATAACCACAGTGTACCCATCTTCTGATGGCTGCCTCCTGCAGGATAACCCGCCATGTCATAAAGCGTGAATCATCTCACACTGGTTTCTTGGACATGACAATGAGTTCACTGTACTCAAATGGCCTCCTTTAGGATGTGATGGAACGAGAGATTGGCATCATGGATGTGCAGCCGACAAATCTGCAGCAACTGCGTGATGCCATCATGCCAATATGGACCAAAGTCTCTGAGGAATAATTCCAGTACCTATGCCACGATGGATTAAGGCAGTTCTGTAGGCAAAAGGGGGTCCAACCCAGTACTAGTAAGGTGTACCTGATAAAGAAGTGTGTATATGCACATATCAATTTGCAGATATAACAGAGACAAACAGACATATTTATTTATTTGGAAATATGTTTGTCTGCCAAATCAGTTATTTCGAAGCGAACAACATGCAAAAAAAAAAAAAAACTATGTAAATCAAACAGAGATAACCCCTGCGTGTGTGGTAGGTAATGAGGCTTTAAAAAAGTCTGATAATTTGACCTTTTTATCGCAAGACAAGGTTAGTTCAGATTGTAAAATGTCATTGTGACAAATCAAAACGGTAATTATAAACAATTCTGATTGTTAATACTGTAAATACTAAATAATGTAAATACTGATCATGTAAAATATGAATCTTAAAAATGAATAATAATGTCCTGATCATAATATACATGTATATTATGATCAGCATAATATACATGATATATTATGTATATTATATATACCTCTTTTCTACTTATAGTTGCAAAGTGTTTAAATTTGACAATTTGATTTATGTATTTGTTGTCAATTTCAGCACATTATCTTGCAGCTCATTTGAAAGAATTGAGGTTTTGGCGTGTGTGTGGCTTTGTGGTTTAAGAAGAGATGATGAAATGGCATGACCTAGATATATGTTATGGTGGGGGTTTCTTAGGACATGTCCTTGTAATTCAAAACTGTTAAAAAATCATATTAAACAGGGTCTTTTCGAAAATAATTGCCACAGGTTTTCTGTGAAGGTTGGGTTTGGGGGGTCAGGTTAGGATAAGGCCATATAATAAGCAGTTTTTAGAGTTAGATATATATAACGCCTATAGAGAACCACCAAAACAATTGTGTGTGTGTTAGAGGAGACAGCATGATGATGTTTGTCCAGTGCCAGGTGGCGTGTGTGACTTCCCTCAGGTTTATGAAGGCTGGTTCAGAGTCTCTAACACTGAGGAGAGATCCGTGCTGCTCCCTGTCTGTGTCAACAACACAAAGCCGTATCTTATCGTGCCATGATTGCTGTGGATCCGTGAAGCTGCGGGCACAGCATGGGAAACATTCCACCTGAGGAACAACACACGGCCACCATTAAACTTCTCCCTATTTAAAGATCACGGCTCTGATTTATTGCTCTAGGCCTGCAGGATTTCACTGCACTTGTTCATCTGGGAACAGCTCTTTTGGCTTATTATTAGACTCTTAAGTTAATGCATGTCAAGGAGAGTTAAATATACTTTGTATAATGATAGGGGGGAGACAACAAGGGTCAGAGCCAAACTGCAACTTTTATTAGAGTGGTCAGACATGGTCAAAAACAGGGAAAGACGGTAGCATGTAGGTAATCAAAAAAGCTAGTCATGTTACCGTGTCCGGCAGCTTTGAAGCATGTATCAAATAAGTTCTACAGTGAATGATACAGTCTAGCAGAGAAGCAGTGTACTGGAGCTTGATGTGTTTTGCCATAATTACATGATCAGTGACTTCTGAAGCTTTATTTTCGTCTATATCCACGTGACTGCTTCAAATTTTGATTCAAAGGTTTAAACACTCTTGTGGGTTAATAACGTGTATAGCGAGAAATTAGGCATGGATTACATACTTTTCTGCTGTTTCGAGTCACTAGACTAGTCCCATGCACCAGTAATTCGACTAAAATACAAAAATAATTAATAGTAAAAAGCTTTTGAGCCATACTAAAGTGTATTAGTGCATTATTTACAACTATTTTTAAAGAAAGCCAATGCATTTTGTAGTCTAGTGTGTAGTGGCCAGCTGTTGAGTGCAGCCCATAAGCCTCACTCCAAAAGCTTTCTCCTTAGAGCATTCACTTACCATGCAGGAATCGCCAGTTCAATCCCCCTCAGAACGAGTGGGTGGGTGTAAGACCGGTTGAAATACGATAAACATAAATTTATGATGTGAGTGTTTGACATTTTTGCAACACAGTGCTTTCGCACACTTTAACCAGCAGAGGTCCTTATCGAGCTCTGATTTGTGAAGCTTTGAGGAACGAACCTTTTTCAGATACAGTTGAGCCGAATGGTTCACTGGTTCTGAAAGCTTCATTCCACCATCACTACCAAAAGCACTGTGGGTTTAACAAGCAAAAAATCATGGCAGCAGCAAAACAAACATAAAACAAACAAAGGTCAAAACACGGCTAGACAATCTAGGAAATGCTTTGAAATGCTCACTACAGCTAAACAAGACTCCACAATGTATAGTGTGTGCGTAATCAGGAGAGGAGCTGAAACTGGTGTGTGACTGCAGGGCAGGATGGGATTTGTAGTCCAGTTCAATGGCAGATGTGATGTTGGAACTCTACTTGGTAAAGATGACCATACAGAGCAACACTTCCCATCACAGCTGTCAAATTGGAGGACCGCAGCTCTGCACAGTTTAGCTCCAACCCTAATTAAACACACCTGATTGACAACCCGCCTTTAGATTATCGAACATGTTATAGCTGTTAACTAGTTGTTTATAAGCGTGCAAGTATATTATTACTACTTATTACACTGCTTTCTGGTATGCTTGATTCCGATTGATCAGTCACTATATTCTAAGCTATGTTATTTCCAGATAACACCACCTAAATCCAATAACAGAGGCTCAACTGGGAACTTCAAATGATCTTGACCGCCAGTGGATACGTTCACATTCATATATAGTAGCCAACATATGAAGTGGGTCAAAAAAGTTTTTCAAAATCATCCAAAGACAAGAATGGGTGTTGTTGAATAGATTTAGAAGAACTTTTTTAGGTTTTTGACCTACTTCAAATGTTGATTACTGAATTCTGTATATGCTTGTCTTCCTCATCCATTGCTGTTTTTGACTTGTTTTGGCGCCATCTTTTGACTAAGTAATACGTAGGTTAGTGTTGGCTCCACTCAGCCGTTTTCCTTTTTGTAAGCTTCACTTTTTATTAAAGAATAAATAAACTATTACTAATCTATTTTTACCATTTTTTATATTGAAATTACTACAATTTTCCAGTATAGGGAACTTGTTCACTGTTAACTGTAAATTAACTGTAATCTCAGCGTTTTTGTTTTTGGCTGTTTATTTTGATTAGGTTTCAGAACTCATTCGAGGCGTTCAGTCTGTTTATCAGCGCTGTTATTTTCCCCTTATCAATAATTTGCAAGTTGACTTCTCAGTGCCTTATGTCAGCTGTGCCTCTGGCCTGAGCTCTTTTGTTGAGAGCCGTTCAATAATAGATAAAGCTGCAGAAACTGTAGAACAGGTTGAATCCGAGACCTTATTCCTTTTCCAGAAAGACCTGTGGATGGATGACTTCAGAAAGAGGCATAAATGCAGATGTTTATGGGTGTTTAGCATGCACTGAAGCTATTTCTTTTACCAAGGAAACTATCAGTTATGTACACTACCGATCAAAAGTTTTAAAACAGTACAATTTTTTTTTCCAAGTATATTTTGATCTTCAAGTCTGCGTTCATCTGATCCAAACTACAGCAAAAACAGTTGCTTGTGACATGTTTGCTATTAAAATGACTATTGTAATATAATTTATTCTTGTTTCCCAGAGATGGGTTGCGGCTGGAAGGGCATCCGCTGCGTAAAAACTTGCTGGATAAGTTGGCAGTTCATTCCGCTGTGGCGACCTCGGATTAATAAAGGGACTAAGCTGACAAAAAAATGAATAAATGAATGATTTTATTCTTATGATTCTTATGAGGATCGGTGATGCTGGCTCAGCATTGTGTTGTCTATTGACCATCAGTGATGGACCATGGCATCGTCTATTGGCCCAACCCTATTGTCCACCATTTTAGCTGAATTGGTCACATGACAAAAATTATAATATTCCAAAGCCTCCATTTTCACAGTCACAACCGCAACTAGTGTTTTCAAGTATATCCTCTTTGGAGAGCGTTTTCAAAAAGATTTTTTTTTTTCTCTAAAAGTGCCATTTCAGTGTGGACAGAAGCCCAAAATGGAGGAAAAAAATACGCAGTTTTAAATGATGATGATTTATGGCCATATAGAAACTTTTCACAAGACTGTCTTGATGCGTTTATCGGTCATCAGCATCTTAAATCCTTGAAAGTTTTTAGTTGTTTTTTAAAAAAGTATGAATGTTTATGATTGTATTTATGTATGTATTATATCATCTTTTCATTAAATTCCAAAAAATTACAATTACAGCTTATGCAGTGTCTATGTGGTTGGGTAGGACAGGAAATTTGACGTTGTTCTCTTTTCTGGCTGCCATTATCAGCATCACACAATTTCCTTTCTTTTTCTGAAAGTCTTGATAACACCATCATGGAGTTTTGTTTTATTATTTGAGCAAATAGGATTGTAAAAAAATGATTTCTTCCATTCACTTCACTCTGTGTACCCAAATATTGACTGTTTTTACTTTCAAAATGGATTTATTTACATGCTCATAGTTTAAAAATAATTTTGTTTGTTTGTTCAGGTTAACAGAAGTGTCACCATTGTTGCGAGAGTCGTTGGCGAGCGTGTCTTCGTTAGAATACATCTCCTGTTTCATGAAAGAGCTGAAACTGGAGGACAAAGATCTTCACAACCTCGTGCTGCTCTTCAAACCGTGCGTCCCTATACAAACGTGATGTACAGAACACTCTTTTAGAGATGAAAATAAAAACCTGTCCCAACACAATGGTTCTGTGCTACATTTGAGTGTTAAGTCATTCTGCAACACAGCCTCAGTGGAAATATGTGCTTCAGCCTACATTTCATACATTTGACTGGAGTTTCTAGGTAAGATAAATGTTACAAGGCAATTTGATGCCGATAACTTTGTTCATTTTCACACTAATTTTATTTGCATCAATACATTATAGACAAATAGGGTTCATTAACGTTCAGGTCATCAAATATATTCCACAAACAACTTAACAGTGTCTTTAATTTGTAATGAGTGTTGTGTTTTGTGTTGTGTTGTACATGGTTCCTCAACGGTAAAAAAAATATGCAAAATCAAGGTAAAATGATGCGATTGCAGTGCACTTTTCTCATACGTTTGCCTTTGAAAACACTATTGGTCGGGTTTAGGGAAGCGTTAAGGTCAGTCGTTATTAAGATGAACTGTACAACAAGTTCTGCCTTTTTCATAGACGTGTACAAGAAAGATGTGTATCTGAAACATACAACAAAACATACCCAAGTCAGTAATCCCCATCCTTATTATGACAATTTTTCCGTCCTGTGGGGGTGCTGAGCAATCATCATTTCTCAGATTATGACAAGCTGATAAAACAATACTGCAACTCTCAAACAAGTTTTAATTTTGGAGAAAATTAAAAAGGTCTGCAGTGTTTGGGTGTTCTGTGATTGTCTACCGAAACATACCAAAAAATGAAGGTGAGCAGTCAGTTTTTGTCACGTTGCTGTGTACTCTTGTAACCCCGCCGGTCCAACACCACCCATTCCGCTCTGAGCTGGGATCGAAATGGTGACTTTCCGCATGAAAGTCGGTTGCTCTACCAAGGAGGCTAAAGACCATAGCCTCTAGCGTCGCTCGCTAGAACACCTTTAGGGGTCAGAGGAGTGAGGTTTACCTGCCCAGCACTTACTAGCTGCCCTCGGTTACACTCGCAGCATTCTGAAGATGATTTCAACTAGGTGCGTCTGGAAGTCATGAGCGCGTCTCGCCACTTGTGCGCATTGCTCTCAATAGGTGTGTGCAAGCCGCGCACCTACATTTGAAATAATGAACTCAAAGAAAAGATGCGAAAATAGAACGGCCGCTATCATTTGCGATTTCCAGCATTTGATCCTCTTGTACAGATATACTGGATTCACCTAATTTGTTGACAAATGGATAAGGGATCCATTTCTTGGCAGTTATTGGGTCCTTCACTGGGGAGTTTCCTGTTTGCAAAGAAACTTTCCAAAGACGTCAGTTTATTACTCGTTTTGCTAGCTTGTAGGTTAGATTTTGGCGCTTAAGTGACTGAGATGTAACCGAGAGCCGAGTCAAAATAAAATATTTTTCTAAATAAAAAATAGTTTAGACCCAGATAAAAAATAAAATGGAAATAATTAAAGATTTCTTGTGCGGCCCAGTATCAATTGATCCATAGACCAGTACCGGTTCGTGGCCCAGGAGTTGGGAAATGCTGTTCTACATTACATATTTTAGATTCATAAAAATGTAGATCGTGCCCTCTAGTGGATTTGACATCTAAAACGTGCAATGTAACATACCTGTAGCAATATATTCCATGTTTGGCAAAAATGTAGACCAAGATATGCCATTTAATGGGTTGTTTTTATTGGTTGGTAGTAATTTATAATCAATAATTAACTTTTTTTTTTTAATTGGAAAAAATTGACAATGGAATAATCAAATTCAGATTTTAATGTGCGTCAAATAATATCAGCAGTTAAAAGAAAATCCTGCTTCACTCTTAACCCTCATAAAGCATTCAGAACTCATTTTGAGGAAGGAAGAGGTGCATAAGTTCTTAAAACAAATACATAATCTTCTGTTAGGGAAGGAAGCTTTACAGCTCAAACATCCTCAAAATATGCAATTAATGTGAGAGGTCATGCCTTCATGGTGTTAAATGTACAAAATCTGAAATGATACAGTGGGGGAGATCAGTATTTAACACTTCACAGTTTTTCTCAGAAAACATATTTCTTAAGGTTGACCGGAAATTTTCACCAGATGCTGGTAACAACCAAATAAATACATATATGAAAAGAAAAGAAAATTAAATTAGTTTAGAAAATAATCTATGTGTAATAAAATGAAATTGCGCAGGACAATAGTAATGAACACATGAAGAAATGAGGTGTAAAAAGGCAGTGAATGCCCAGACAGCAGCTGAAATCTCTCCGTAGTTATTCAGCAGCCTCTGCCCTTCATCAGTATAAATTAATATTTACGAAGAGCAGAGTGCTGCTGAAAGACTACTGAGAGAGTTAAGCTGCTGTCTGTTTTAATACTTTTTCTCTGCATCATTTCATTTTATTACTTTATTCGTAAACAAATAAGATTTGTTTTCTTTTCATATATGTATTTCATAGGTTGTTATCAACATCTGGTGAAAATTCCAAGTAAACGACATCTTTAGAAATATGTTTTCTGAGAAAAATGCTGACATGTTGAACACTTGTCCCCCTGTATACAGTATGCATGTATCAAAAACAAAATATAATTTGCTAAAGTAGTTTGCTAAAATATAGTTTGCTAAATATAATTATTATTTTTTCTTATATTGAACACACTTTGTGACTGAATTCTTTCCAAAGAATACATTTTTTTAATTAATGAAAGGTTATAACATGGTACACTTTACAAACCTTTTTGTTTTTAGGCAAGTTAAGGCAAGTGATCATATCCACTTAGCACATCTGTAATGAGCTCCTAGGCCATTTAGTGATTTGTAGACAAGAAACAATACTTTAAAATCTATTCTGAGTGTAACTGGGAGCCAGTGTAAAGACCTGAGGACAGGTGTGATGTGCTCTGATTTTCTGGTTTTGGTCAGAATCCTGGCCGCAGCATTCTGTATGAGCTGCAACTGTCTGGCTGTTTGTTTAAGAAGCCTAGTGAGGAGGCCGTTACAGTAATCCACCCTGCTGCTGATAAAAGCATGAACAGGTTTCTCAATGGAAACAAAACATATCATTCTTGCAATGATTTTCAGATGGTAGTATGCTGATTTAGTTACTGCTTTGACATGACTACTAAAACTTAGATCTGATTCTAAAATCACACCAAGAATCTCATCAAGACCTTATTTTTTGTTGTTTGACCTTTAGAGCCAAGGTATGCATTTACCTTGAGAACCTCATCTCTGTTTTCAATGACTTTCACTTTGTTTAACTGAAGAAAGTTTTGGCACATCCAACTGTTAATTTCATCAATGCATTGGCAGAGGGTGTCAATGGGGCTGTAGTCATTAGGCAATAAAGCTAAGTACATCTAAGTGTCACTTGGCAAGAATGGTCTCCACAAGAACATGGGTCTGTTCTCTGCATTCTTGGAATTGCGAATCTGGCTAGATCTTTTTTTTTTTAGCCATTTGAGGACTAGGTCAGAAAAAGTGTATTGTTGAATTTTTATATCTGTTACTCTGAAAGATGGGACATTATCTCACCCATTACTTTCATTTAATAATAATATTTTAAGAGCATAATAATGGTCTTTTTAGTATTTAAATTTGTAATATATAATCACTTATAATTACTGGAAACCAAACTGGGAGGCTTCCAATTTAGACTGAAAGTAAAGACTACTTTATAGAGTTTATAAATTGACCTCTAATTAGGATTTGCATTGAACATGGGATCTTCTTCAGCCGACGTTTTATATCTTATGTCAAAACATTTATTTTAAAATGTTTTTAAATGTTAAAAACATACAAATTTGTATTTATTTGTTTATTTTTTGCATTGATGCAGTAGAGAAGCCATTTATGGAGGAACTTGTTCACTAAACCTTTCTAATAAGAACTTTTTTTCTCAGTATAAAGAAGCTTTTAAACATTTTTGTGCAGTGGAAGATTCCATAAATGAGCAATACATGCCAATTGAGAATCTAACTATTAACTTAAAGATTTATTTCTTAGCCAGGGCTTGACATAAACTTTTTTGATCACTAGCCACTGTGGCTAGTAGTTTTTCAACATTACACTAGCCATTATTACTAGCCACAATTTTGTTGTTGGGAAAATATATTTCATTTGCATAAATTTGACTTTGATATGCTAAAATTGATTTAAACTGTGTGTAATGTCCACATGCCTCCTCACTCATTTCACTTTTTTGTGTGTTGTGTATGAGCTTGCTCAATGAGCATAAGCAAATGTGCTGTGGTTTCATAGTGTCGCATTGCTGTTAGTTTTTATACAACAGTTCTTTCTGGTTTTTGAACCTGAATGTCTGATAGCCGTAATATATATAATATCAGCACCCGTACAGCCTCTTTACCCTTTGTGTATTATATACAGCCAGCAAAAAGCAGACACTACAGATCTAAAGTTTAAAAGATGCACGCTCAGCTGTTTAACTGTCAGCTTATGATTTGAATCCAACGCGGAAGAAAGTAGTTTCAAATACAAAAGGGTTTTTGAGACTGTCCATGTTTGATTTTGTTTTTATATACACAATTATGCCGTCAAACTGTTGTATAAACGCAATATCACACTCGTAGCAGTGTGATATGGCTGTATATTGGCACTGGTGGAGGCACTAATGCACGCCTCCCACAAGTGCCGATATACAACTATATCGCACTGCTACGAGTGTGTTATTGCTCATTTATTTTATAAGACTTTTCAGGGCTCAAAATTAAGGGCTTACCAAATGTATCTCTTACCACACCTGTCCGCTCAAGTGATCATCCTTTCGTTGGTGATTCATCTGCCTTCTTTTGCTTGCGCAAACACAATTATTTTTGACAGTCATGCTGCTTTTCGATTCTAAGATCACATCTGCACACATATTGGGCCATCCTTATTGTCAAACCTTGCTTTTAGGAGGCCAGTATGAGCGGCTGTCTTACCTGCATTTGGCAGGTTGGTGCCATACCTGTCAACCCTCCTGTTTTTCCCGTATTTCTCCCGTATTTTCCAGTAATGGGTCATTCTTGAACGATTCGTTCATTTTGAAAATGACTCGAGAACTACGAGTCCTCTCAGGGAGTGATTCGTTCATCCGCGTGTGCGCACATTTGTGCAAGTGGTATCGTTCATTTCAAGTCTTTTGAGTCATTCATCGCGGAAAGGCAAAAGCCAATCATATGCGTTTAGAGCCGGAAAAAGAATGGATCCAATCGTCTCTCGAGTTCTCTATCGGGTTTGAGTCATTCGTTCCTCACAGGCCAATCATATGCGTTTAGAGTCGGAAAAAGAATTGATTCGTTCAACTCTCGAGTCCTCGGGTTTGAGTCATTCTGTCACGTGATTAACGAACGACTCAAGAACCAGAAGACTCAAAAGGTGAACTAATTATCATGGCTCCTATCGACTCAGACTGTGTACTTTGGTTAAGATTATTTGTGACTGTCAGTAACATGAACGACCCACTGACATTTGAAGACATGAAGAGGTGAGCTGAGCAAAGAGACAACAATACCTTCATAGACAAAAGAGCAGGTAAACATTGAATTATTTTCTCCTTCTTTTAGTATTCTGTTCATGACTTATTTGACGTGTGATCAACCTTTTGGGCTAGTTGTAAATGTGTTTGGAAGCAATTCGTAACATTTTAATAATATTTTGGAAAATTGAACGAAATGACTCGAAAAAAGATTCGTTCATTTGGATGAAAGAGACTCAAAGATCTGAGTCAGTAAAATGATTTGAACTTCCCATCACTAGTATTTTCAGTGTTTCTCTGAAGGGTGGCAGGAAACATTAAAGAGCCGAGCCTCCCTATTCGCAACCCATACCGCTGAACCACCAGGGGCCGCCCCTTGCTCTTAAATGTGAGTCTGTTCTGTGCTTTCGTTTTGTTTAAGCATGAAAACGCTTTGAAATAAATATAAATGTATGAGTGTGTGTCGAAGGATATAAATCAACAGGCATATTCTTAATCTCTTTATTAATATTTTACAAGGACAAATTAATTACAATTTATTATAAAATACTGGAAACTGGAAAAAATACTGGATCCTAAACAAAAGCACACAATATTAACCTTCTAATTCTACATAGTGTCTCACGTGCAAGCAAACCAACGTATTGTTGTTTTTTAGTCATTATTTTAGCCCGTGCTGTGTTTCTTTGTGTCTCCTGAGATCTACTTTGCGCTGGAAGCCTTTGCCACACAGGTCACATCCGAAAGGTTTGAATCCAGTGTGTTTTCTGCTGTGCGTGATGAGGTTTGAACTCTGACTGAAAGCTTTGCCACACACTTGACATTTGTGAGGCTTTTCACCTGCAAAACACAAAGAGTCTTTTAGTCTCGAATAAACACACTATTATAATATTTATAAATTACACAGTAACTATGCACTGAGACCCCGCCCCGCATTGACTTGTGTCCTCTGTAGTGGACATTTCGTTTTCATAAATTTTCTTTGAATTTTTTTGAGCTACTCTTCTCAAGTCCTGCTGTACTGTTCAGAGGACATCTTGGGCTTTCTGGTGATATGTCATTTGATTGGCTGGCATGCTAGGAACCACTTCTTAGACTGCATCCAAAATGGCCGACATACAAAAAAAGCACATTTTATGGGAAGGAGAGAGGCATGTCATTTTTATTTTTTTTTACTATTATTATTACTTATATATTTGTTTATTAAAGTGTCAGGAACAATACATTTAGCTTTTAAAGCTGTTAACTTGTTTGTGTTTCAAAATAGCATCCTTTTTTAAATGTGCACTACGGACATCAGTAAATGGACAGGGGACAGAACTAAAGCAGAGAGGATTCTTTATAAGATAGTTGAGGGAGACTCTGATTTAGAGTCTGACAATCAGACAATTAGAGAGACAATTCGAGAATGACAATCAGTTTTAAATCGCTTTTATGTTAAATTTGTTTTGGCACTTTTCTTTGTTTTTTTTTTTTTTTGTTGAGTTCGGCTCTCTTTCAGACTAAACTGTTTCAGAAATTGCAATACAAAAGGAAAAAAAGGCTTTTGTTTTGTTTTTGTTACATAAATATTGGATTGATATCCCTTTACAGCCACGCCCTGTACTGTTTTGTTGTCTGAGGGGCGGTCGTTTTGAACTAAAATGGTCCTGTGGGTACGGTGGCCAGGAAGTTCAAAACAACATTACAAAGTTTGAAACACTTTTACAAAGCTCGAGACAAATTTACATTTTGAAAAACATTTTTACCTATCATCAGACACAATTACATAGGAAAAACTATTTTAACAAGGACGAAACAAATTTACATTTTAGAAAAAAATTAACAAGACGCAAAACACTTTTACAAGTCCCGAAACAAATTTACAATTACAGATTCCTTACGGAAAGAGAATGTACCACACACTGGAAGTGATGTGGAATATACCACACACTGGTAGTGACCCGGAATGTAATAGATACACTGGAAAATATCAATAATATCCAGCTCGTTTGTTTGACTTTGTAGACAGGTTTCCACAAGTCTACAACTATAAAAATCATGGTTTGACCAACTGCGATAAAACATATTAGAGTTATTCTGAGAAAATGTCAGCGTTAGAGTGCGTAGAAACAATGAAAGCACGGCACGTGTTGACTGATAAAGTTATCAAAACCCATCCTAACCTGTAGACCCGAATAGCTGTTAGATAGGTCGGTTGATACTTACGCTGAACCTTTTGGCTTGGAATCGAATCCCGTTGATGACATGTCAATTATAATTATTTATTTACATTCATTTTGGTTTATGCTGTTCTGCTGCACAGATATTAAAATCAATAATGTTTACACTGACACTGACAACAAGTAATAAGAATCTTTATTCGGTATGGGCATGTTTTGTTGCTGTGAAAAAGTGATGAATCTGACAATCTGCAAAACGTTAGTTTACATTTGAAAAGAGCCTCAGTTAACACGGAAACCAGTTAAACCGTAACACCGGCTTTATTCGGTTTACTGTTAAGAGTCCTCAAGCAGATATTTACACTGTGTAGACTTGACATCATGTCCACGATTACAGCGTACGAGTGGCCAAATCACTGTATATTTCACAGTAAAGATAAAATTCTAAAAACATTTACAGGACGATAAATAGTGCTGTAAATCTAAATACGGTATTATTTACATTTACATATGTTGTATATGATTTACAGTAAGTTACTGTAGATTCTGCAGGAAATTGTTATCAGTGCATGGATTGTTAAAGCAAGACCCTTTTTAAAATTGTGGATTTTGTGTATTTATAAGCTGCTTTTCCAGTCTAAAGGCTGGTTTATACTTCTGCTTCGAGTTATCGGCGTGATGGATTGTTTATGTATAGGTGTTTATGTTCCTCTGTGTTGAGTTTCTTCACTGGTGTTTAGTTCTTTCTGAGCGCCACCTGAAGCAATAACCGGCGGACGTACAACAACTTTAATTATAAGGTAAACACAAAACAGAAGTTTCCATCTGGAGCTCCTTCACGGGACTCAACACTTGTGTTGTTGCCACGTGTAGTTAAATCTTTCGAGATGTGTGCGTCTGTCACCCACGGTGAGGGCTATGCGACCGCGCGAAGGCTGCGCTGCACCTGCACCATACTCGTGCGCTTGACGCAGAAGTATAAATCTGCCTTAACGGGTCACGAAACACCAAAACAATACGTTTGTACGAAACAATTTTTTACTTGAGAGCTTTTCGCATCTGGAAATTGTGAAATCCAGATTTGCTGCTCGTCTCCTTTTAATAAAGACGCAGCTCCAGTTGGTGTTGATTGTCCTGTCTCTACAGATTTGGTAAGTGTGTGTGCGATCAGCGCCCTTTCTTTGTTCATTCAGATGGCAGGTATAGTTCGTATCGTCAGTAGTATTCTTTCAGTGTTTAAAGACAGACCTTAGGCAAAATGATTTCTAAGTTACTTAGTTTACGTTTATACAATATTATGGGCTGTAAGATCCGCTGTATTTGCTGCTCTCTGAGTGAAAACAAATGAACACTGCAAGCAAACTATTACCAACAGTCTTGTTGAGTTTTCGCCGCATTTTGTGACAGTATAGTCTACACACACACACACGGCTTTCTGACCTACCAAGTGCATCTGAGTTACCGAGAAATACCGAGAGTTTTTTTTCTCTTATATGACGTGCGGCCTCAAACATTTCTTTCTCCTCTGCGTGTGTGTTTGTTTTTCCTCTGTGAAAATCAGCGCGTGCCCAAATGGAAACTCCCATTTTTATTCAAATCCTTCCCTATTTTCCCTCCTCCGACACTCCCACCTAAAGGTGGCCCTTTAATGCAGAGAAAACATCCAAAGTATCTTTATTTAATGGTTACAAACCTCCATTAGTTTCTTTTGTTTCCTTTTTTTTGTTTTTGTTTTTTTTGCTGAACACACAAGAATATAATTTAAAGAATGTTGGAAACCGGTAGCCATTGACTTCTATAGTAGTAAAAACAAATGCTATGAATTTTAATGGTTACCGTATTTCAACATTTTTCAAAATATCTTCTTTTGTGCCCAACAGAATGAAGGAACTCAAAATAAAATTTTATTCTACAAAACTCTGAACTTTTTTCCTCATGACTGAGTGTATAAACGATTCTACAGAAAGCAGTAAAATTCTTTGACTCTAATATATATTAAAAATAATAATAATTTAATCTGACTGCATCCAATGTTCAGATATTTGTGCTGGAAATGTATGCAAATTTACACATTTACTAAAATTAAAAATGCACCATTTGCATAATTGCATTTAATATTTTAAAACATTTGAAATACAAAGAATGTGGTCCCACTTTATATTAAGTGGCCTTAACTACTATAAACTTCCATCAAAAAATAAATACGATGTACTTATTGTCTTCATAATGTATTGCAGAACACTACTGGTGCTCTTGAGGTGTTATACTGGTATAGTACACGTTTGGTGGTATGGGTGGGTTAAGGTGTAAGGGCTGGACAACAGTTTAATTAAAGATGTATTTACAGAAATGAATTATTACATTCAGGTGTTTAATCAATCATAAGTATAAAGTTAAAGCGTGTATTTGCACAATAAGTACATTGTAACAAATGATTAATTTCTGTGTAACTACATATTAGTTAAGGCCACTCAATATAAAGTGGGACCAAGAATAAATGTTGTGATTTTTCATGTAATCAAATTAAGTTTTTTTTTTTTTACTCTACCTGCAGAGGTAGACAGTTCATCCATTTATTCACACTCAAGTGGTTCTAAACTTTAATTAGTTTCTTTTTTTCTGTTTAACACAAAACAAGATATTCTGAAGAAAGTTGGAAAAAAGTAAGCACTGGCATACATAGTAGGAAAAACAACAAAAGAAAAACATGGAAGTCAATATCTATGTTTCCATCCGCTTGTTTTCATGTGCGTATTAGCCAAGATGCGCATCGATTTTGAAAATGAAAAGTATGCGCATAACTGAATAGGGTACACATTTTATACAAAAAGAGATCATTCTTATAAACTACAATGGGAACACATTTGCTGAAAAAACTTCACCATGCGAATTAAAGTCTTGTGATTTTGTTTTAACAGATCATGTGATGATAAAAACGAATGTGATGGACAGATGGACAAACCAGCAGACTGACCACATGTAAAACAGCTGAAATTGTTTTGGTCAGTCAAAAATCCCTCAGCCAAAGTTTGTCATCAAAGTGGTTCAGTATTATTACCTCCCAAAACTGTCCTGAGCGCCTCTAAAATTCATTGTGCTTTCATTTTTGAATGACTATTTTATTCAATTTAAAAGATGCGTTTAAGATCTGATTCCTATAAAAAACCAGCAACCTCACTGCCTGGCTGGGATACGATATAAAGTTGGTCTCAGGCCAAACAAGAAGCGCTGCATTGAAGTATATTTTTCCGAGCCATGTGTTTAAAATATTGAAATTAATTTTACCTCAGTATTTTCAATGGAGTTATAGACATTTAAAGGGGTTTTCATCTCTTTATAAGCTTTAACAACCAATCGGATGCTTAAGTCTATTTAACTGATTATATTTGAATTACATTACAACATCAATGTTGTAAAAAGGAACCATTCATTCATTCATTCATTTTCTTGTCGGCTTAGTCCCTTTATTAAACCGGGGTCGCCACAGCGGAATGAACCGCCTAAAAGGAACTATATGAAATTAAAAATAGTCACATAAAGCTTCACCAGAAGTTCACCACTGGCTGAAAAACACTAGCTGTGCATGTAATATATTGCTGCCAGTTTAACAGGAGGTGATGAATTTATTCTCTTTGGCTCATTGACTCATTGTATGGAAATGCTGATTAATTTGCAAAAATTCAATGTAATATTCCAGTTTTGCTCTAATTTTAAGTCTAAGTTGTATATTTGGATGGAAACATAGCCATAGGCTGCTTTTTTCCAACATTAGAATATCTTCCTTTGTGTTTAATAGAAGAGAGAAACTCAAAGCGGTTTGGAATAATTGAGCAAATGATGGCCGAATTTTCATTTTTGGGTGCACTATCCCTTTAAATAGTCAAATACATCAGCAGTACTTTTACACGAGAAAATTCACAGTGTCTGTTGTCAAAACCTATTGAAGGCAAGCCTAATGATTAAACGATTAGCCTAAAAAGCATAACAGCTATTGCTAATGCCAACTCTGTGACAGTTCACATAGAGAGCAAAAGCTGCTTTGTGATTGGTTAAGATGTGCTCTGTGTAACCAAGTTAGCATTACAGTTTTTCCAATGGTAAGTAATGATATGTGTCTCCCCATAGTAAGCAAATCTTTGTGTTGAATGCTAAAATGATTCACCTGTATGAATGAACGTGTGCTTCTTCATATCAGATTTCTGATGGAAGCGTTTTCCGCAGTACTGACAGGGATACGGTCTGGTGTCCGAGTGGATGAGAAGGTGCGTGGACAAAGTGGACGATCTCTTAAAGCTTTTGTCACAGATTTTACAGCTGAAGACCCTTTCCTGCAAATAAACGATCATGAGTAAGTATCATCCAGGTTTACAATTCTGACATTACTATTGAATGTTGTGAGAATTGAAGCGTACTTGTGAATGGACGGCTTTATGTTGCTCCAGACTGACGGCGTGGCCGAAGGTTTTGCCACAGATTTCGCAGGCAAAGGGCCTTGTGCCGCTGTGTGACCTTCGCACGTGAACTTCCAAGCCATGGGGAGTGGAAAACACCTAATTACAAATTAAAAGCACACAAGTCTTTAGAAGAAAAAACAGTGATTTGTTTGAAACAGTGTAGTTTACATTCATATCTTTAAAGTATAATATTTTATACTTATCAAAATTGTATTGGTCTAAAGCAATTTAGACATAAAAGTCCACAATTTTGACCAAGCATATGAAAATGAAACTTGGATTTCCTATACAAAAAAAAGAAGTAACAGTGTTTATGGCAGTATTGGTTGTCAAATGGATAATGTTTTGATTTTGATTGCCATTGGATAACTCATCCAATTAGATAACGTTTTACTTCAAATACCATGGTCAAACTAGTCAAGTATACATTCTTGCAATTCTGTTTGGTTGACAATTTGGAGTATACATTCTATAATTCTAAGAAAAAAGTTTAAATTGCCCAAACATTTTATCATCCATAATTCCAAATTTATATAACAGAAAACTGCAACCCACAAATTACTTATTTAGACAATTAAAAGTGTTTTGATTTTGATTGCCAATTGGATAACGCATCCAGTTATGTAGTGTTTTTCAACAAATTCCAAGTTTGATTTTTGGGTAGAGGCACAAAATCATAGTTAATTTGTGGTCAACTACCTGATTTCTCTTTATTTGGAGTAAAAAACCATTGCTAATTAGGCTTAAATTGCAAGATAGAAACTAAGAATTCTTCATTTTTCTTGCAAGTTGAAGCATATGTTTTTAAAAAACAAAATAAAAGTATATTCTTCCTCATGATTCTGTTTAGATTGGCAGTTTTGAGTATACATTCTATAATTCAAAGATAAAAAGTGTAAATTACCCAAACATTTTATCATCTGTGTTGTCAAATTTATAAAACAGAAAACTGCAACACACAAATTACATATTTTGATAATTAAAAGTGTTTTGGTTTTAATTGCCAGTTGGATTACACATCCAGTTATGTAGTGTTTTACAGCAAATAAAATGGTTGAGCTATGGGTAGAGGCACAAAATCCTAGTTAATTTGTGGTCAACTACCTGATTTCTCTTTATTTGTAGTAAAAACCATTGCTAATTTAGTTTGAATTACAAGATAGAAACTAAGAATTCTTAATTTTTCTTGCAATCATGTTGCGGAAATGGGTTTTCTAGACAAATACAAATTCAAGCATATGTATATTTAAAAACAAAAGTATATTTTAGTCAAAATTCTGTTTAGATTGGCAATTTGGAGGTAAATATTCTGTAATTCTAAGACAAAAAGTGTAAATTACCCAAACATTTTATCATCTGTATTTCCAAATTTATATAACAGAAAACCGCAACACACAAATTACTTATTTAGACAATTAAAAGTGTTTTGGTTTTGATTGCCAATTGGATAACGCATCCAGTTATGTAGTGTTTTTCAACAAATTCCAAGTTTGAATTATGAGTAGAGGCACAAAATCCTAGTTAATTTGTGGTCAACTATCTGATTTCTCTTTGTTTTATTTGTAGTAAAAACCAATGCTAATTTAGTTGCAATTACAAGATATGATCTAGAAATTTTGATTTTCATTTCCAATCGGATAAATCATCCATTTGGATAATGTTTTACAACAAATGCCATGGTCAAACTAAAATGATGTGGCTAGAGTCATAAATCAAAGTTAAATTTTTGGTTAACTAAATTATTTTTCTTTGTTTAATTCGTACTTAAAACCGTTGCTAATTTAGTTTGAATCAAGATATAAACTAAAAATTCTCCATTTTTCTTGCAATCGGATTGTGGAAACAGGATTTTTAGACAAATACAAATTCAGATTGTCAACTTTTAGTAAACATTGTATAATTTTAAGACAAAACTGCTAAATTACCCAAACATTTTATAATCTGTAATTCTATATTTATATAAACTGCAACTCGCGAATGACTTATTCTGACAATTAAAACAGTTTTGATTTTGATTACCAATTGGATAACTCATCCAATTGGATACTGTTTTACTCTAAATACCATTTTCAAACTAGAACGATGTGGGTATAGTCGTAAAATCATTCAAAAAAGTTCATTTGTGGTCAACTACCTTATTTTGCTTTGTTTAATTCGTTGTAAAAACCATTGCTAATTTAATTTGAATTGCAAGATAAGAGCTAAGAATTCTTTATTTTTTTTCTTGCTGAAATGGGATTCCTAGACAAATACAAATTCAAGCATATATATATTATATTAAATATAAGTAATGGGACTAATTACTTTTGGACCCTTAACAAGTGGGAGGCACATATAAAAACTGTTGCAATTCCTACAGCGTTCACCTAGTTTGGATGTAAAGACCCTCAAATTAAAGCTGACAGTCTGCACATTTTGTTCGTTTAATTTTAAATCGATTGTGTTGGTCTATAGAGCCAAAAATGTTAGAATTGTGTCGATGTACAATTATTTATGGCCCTAACTGTATATAAAACATGCAAACTACATATTCTGACAATTAAAAGTCTAAATTGTGAGGTTAAAGTCGAAGCTACAATTCTGCTTCCATAAGCAGCGGGATTAAATATGAAATTTTTACAAAGAATCGAAAAAAGCCATTTAATTTTGCGACTTTAAGATTTTTTTTTTTCAATGCAGCGACTGATAATAATGCTTGAGTATCTATAAGAAGCAAAATATTCTGAATCTAAATTTTTTATACCTTAGTGCATTTTATGCATTTGTAGGACCCGCTTAGTTGAAGTCGTGTGCACGTCATATCTGACTCTGAATCAGTCTCTGCTACTTTAGTCGACATCTTGAAGTCAGTGTAAAAGCCTCGATTATCCAGCAGGTTAGGGGTCAGGGAGCCATAGTCCTGGTAAAATCGCCTAGATTGTGTTGGTTGGATGAGGAGATGAGCGCTCGGCCTTCTGTCCATAGCATCGTAAACCCCCACTGACGAGTCTGAATCCACAGAAACACGATTGCAGGACTGAATGAGATGCCTGAGCTCAGATGATGAATGAGACCAAACGTATGGACGGAAGGACATGTCGAAAGGCTGAGAGTCGTCTGGAGAAGGAACCGGGCATTTATCCAGATCTACAGTCAGATATGAAAAAGTATAATGAGCTATTTTGCATTACACTGTAAAAAAAACTTTGTAGTACAAAAATTGTCGCATGTATTGACATAATTACTGTAAAATAGACTTACAGTACACTCCAAACATATGTTTGCTGCTTGTTTAAACTACTTATTTAAAATGAGCTGAAACAACTCAGCAATTGACATTTTTTGGGACAACTTAATTGTTTTAAGTTCAATCCATTCAAATTATTTACGTTAACTTAATTGCATAATGGAACCCTAAAACATTTTTGCTTTTATTACTGTTTTATTACAGTAAAAGTATATATTTTTTTGTTTTACAATTTTATATTGGCTGTGAAGGGCATCCTCTGCGTGAAACATATGCTGGATAAGTTGGTGGTTCATTCCGCTGTGGTGACCCCTGATTAATAAAGATACTAAGCTGAAAAGAAAATAAATTATTAAATTTTATATTTTAAAACTTTACAATTTGTATAAGCACTGCTTTACTACAAATACCATAATTAGCTTGGGTTACACCAAAACTAGAGTTGAGTAGTAGTTACCATGCTTTTTTTTATTTATAGTAAAACAATGGTTAATTCCAGGGTAGATTGTGATATTGATAATGTAAATTGATAATGTAAATTAATGTAAATTAAAATCCTGTAACTTTAGTATATAAAATACACTGAGAGCCACCATAAACACACAAAGCTACACACAATGAATCGAAACTCATCAGCTTTTCATGAATCTCAGGTAAATATTGATGATTTGAAGTTGCAAATATAGTGCCAAGCACATAAATTAAAAACACAATCAAGGTAGCACATGACACTATTATAATGAAATAATGTTATACAGCGAGTAGCCCTTTTAAGTTAAAACACAGAGACAGTATTTTCTCCACTTGCTTTGGTTTTACTAACTTAGAAAAATACACTTTTTAATTGTAATCAAAAGACAAATTTGGAGACCTCAAAAATTGTTAGTTTGTCGGTGTAAATTTTACAAAGGAAATGGCAAGTAACACATTTATTTAAACATTAAATTCTTATTTAAAGTATTAAGAATCTATTTGTATTTTTATGTTCATTCTTTGGTTTAGTACAAGTACTTGATTGTTAATGAAGCTTTAACGGTGAAATCTTTCTTTGAATTCTTAAAATATTATAGTCCATGTGTTGTCACCAGTGTTGAGGGTAATGCATTACAAGTAATGTGAGTTTTGTAATTAGATTACTTTTTTCAAGTAACTAAGTTAATTTGAACTTGTAGTACTTGTAGAACTTTAAGTAACGAAGTTGCTAATTTCCCAATGTTTTGGCTTACAGCTCTCCTATCCACATGTTGAGAGAAATTATACATTGCTCAGCATATATTAGTACACCCCTCACAAATCTCACTTTGAAATTTATATTTTTAATAGGAAGCTATACAATATTATATTTGTGCTTATAGATTAGATTAGTTAGTACCAAAGCCAAATCTGGAGCTTATCCAACAAAATAACGTATGATAACGGTAACAAAAAAAAAACTAGAACACCCAAATGTATGTAACATTAAAATATTAAATACAAATTCTAGAGAAGCAAAAAAATAATAATTAAAAATTCAGTTTAAATTTTGTAGGTTGTAATTTTTATTTGCAATGTTTTGCTTGAATTTAATTGTATTATCTTTTAATTTCTAAATATGTTTGGTGACAAAAAGTATTATTTTAATAAATATAGGCCTATCTGTTGAATAAATCTGTTTTGTTTAAATGCACCAAAATACATAGCCTATATTCACTGAGAAATGGAGAAAAATATTAATTTAATGTGGTGTACTGCAATTATGCTGAGCACTGTAAGTCGTATACGATGTTGTAACATGATACCTTATGTAGCCCTAACATAAATCTGAATTCACTCTCACTTACACAATAACTAATTTAGTATCCTGTAAACAGTATAAAACATAAAATGCAATCTCAGAATATTAATTTCTCAAGAATGCTTCAATTTTCGAAGTCTTTTTCCAAGCTTATTTTTTTTTAAACTTATGGTTAAAACCAGCCTGATCTCACGAGAAAACGTAAGTATTTTACTTTTTGTTCGTTTAGTGGCTAATTCGTATGAGTTCAGTCGTACAAAATGTACGATTTAAACAAGGAGGCGTGGCACCCATCATACTAAATTGTACGAATAAAATCTTACAATTCATACAAATTAGCCACTAAATTAAAAAGTTACGAATTGCCGTGAGATTGCATGGAATAAAACCTATATATTGTCAAAATGTTAAAAAGCAACACCACTGAAAGCTGTTTTAACTGCACCTCAACTGTACAGACGTGACCTTTTCTTCAGCCTGAGGTTTATTCACGTCACATTTCACTTTTGGTGTAAAAGGGCATTATATCTGTTTTTTTAAACCAAGTTTTTAAACTATTATTACAAACATGCAAGCCAAGCACAACTAATGCAAGATAACTCATGAAGGCCTCATTATATTTCCTTAAAAAGTAAATTGTTAACAAATTTAATTACTTTTTAAAAGAAGCAACACAAGACTGTAACGCATTACTTTTGAAAGTACCTTTCCCTAACACTTGCGATCACATTTCTGTTTCTCGTTTTAGGGTTTGTCTGATTGATTCAGTGCAGCACATTAACCATATCTAATGGCATAACGGCAGGCATAAGTCTAATGGCAGGCTAATTGACTCTTTTGCCTGTGAAATTAAATTAAAAAAAAAAAAAAGTTCCATGTCAGTGCCAAAATATGCATTTGGAACATTATTTTGAAGAAAAGTACACCATTTATCTAACTGCCTATGGTAGGTTAGCCTATATACCCTGTAAAAAGTTTTTATTGGAGAAAAAACATAAAATAATGGCCGTTAAATTACAGAAGTTGAACAGAAGTTTAAATGTAAATAAATCTGTATTTTAACGGATGTTATTTTACAGTACATTTCTGTAATTTAATGGCCGTTATTTTACATTTTTATGGCACCCCACCTGCCGGAAAAGAAAAAAAGGTAAAATTGTATTGTATTATTTTTTTATTTCTTTTTTTTTTTTTTTATACAATGTAGGCTATCCATACTGCTGCTCATTCTGATTTGTATTTAGGGGAGAGTGGGGACAGTTGCAACACTTTTTGCATTTCCTTAAGTTTCTCAGAGACAATGTTTTTTGAAAACCCCAAATTTTAGTATAAAAACCAACATCTATTAGACACCCACCCATATTGCTATAATATATGATAAAATATGCAGAATTTAAAATTGTACAGACACAGTCAAATGTTGCAACTGACCCCGAGCATGGGGACGGCTGCAACAACCCACAGGGACAGTAGTAACATTTATTTAAATGTTATAAAAAACAATCTAAAACATCAGGTTTGATTTTATTTTATTTATTCTATTTATTTTTATTTATTTATTTTTGTAAACAGACTAAATGTAAATTGGTTAAACTGTTAAATGTGTTAAATTGGCCAAATAAATACAGACTATTAAAAGAATAAGCAACAGCCAATAATCAGGCCTAAAAAAACTGAACAAAAATATTTTTAAATCTAGACTGAACCTTTACTAAACCTCTTCTTAGAACTTTGAAATGAATTAATTGATCAAAGATCTTTTTTTAAATTAAATTACATTGAAACTGATCAAATTTAATTTGTACATTTTTAATATGGCAAGCGTTTAGATGAAATTTGTCATTGGGGACAGATGTCAACCCTGAATAAACTGTCAATGCTAAGATTAACATAATAGATTTAACGCTTGATAGCTATACCTTTAAAACCAAGAAAACAGTGATTTAAATTATACAAATGAACAATGTTTCACACACACACAAAACTAATTAGACAGTATGAGAAATTTTCTTAACATAAAAAATTACTCTTTTACCTCAAAATGGGTTTTATACTGAAGGAATGGTCACATATGGGTAATTTCTCTCAGATTAAAGAGGCATCTAACTGAGACTATGTAGTGTGAATATTATCACTCTCATTCCTGAATGGAGGAATAAGATGTCTTGTTGCAACTGCATCATGTTGCAACCATCCTCACTCTTTTCTAATGTATAGCCTAATACGTTCACATTTTTGTAAAGATTCTCTGAAATAATTATTGTGAAAATACAAATACAGTTTAATTTTACAGTTTAAGCTAGAACAGACCCGGCGAGGTTCCTGATGACAGGGGTCTCCAGAAGTCCTCATAGTCGGATGAGCGGTCACACACACTGCCCTCGCAGCTCAGCGGGGACTGTTGAGAAGACTGATCTGCCGTGCACACCATGCTGGCTTTAGGGGACTGATTGCCCACATCCAGCGGGCTTTCAGGAGCCTGTCCGGTTTGACTTTCTAAACCCAATTGAAAATTAACAATGCGATAATAAATAGAAATATAAATTTTAACGTTGATATAAACGTCGTACCTTGGCAAGTGAGAAGTTTCTCGATTGAGATGCAGTTGTCATCCAGGTAACGGGGCTGATGATAACTGTGCGCCCGTTTGCTCTTCACCAAAAATGACCTCGGCATGTTTACGCTCCGTTATCAGCTTCAGGGTCACCAATCACTCACAGCTCTCCAATCTAGCCTGAAAATGGCACAAAAATATGGATTCAGTCCCAAGAGCGCTGGTGTGAAAAAGTGCACCTGATGTTCACTGAACTCAGAACAGCAGGTCTGTCAAATCTCTATCGTGCGGCCTTTAGCAATCAAAACCTCCCAAATAAAGCAAAAGCTATTTGAAGTCGAGGAACCGCACGGCGCACTTTGTTATAAGGCTTCTTTGGGAACTTGATCTTATTTAGTAAGCTGATCCTCCGTCAGCATGATACATCAACCTCGCGTTACGTCCAAGTAACAGCCTGCAAATGGAGCCCAGGGTATTATTGCCAATAACTAATTGACTTTGTTTTGGTCGCTAATAACCAGTGGTGGTAAGAGTACAAAAAAATTGTACTCAATTACAAGTACTGTTACATTGCTGAAATTGTACTCAATTACAAGTAAAAGTACTGGTGTTAAAAAGTACTCAAGTAAAAGTACAAATTACTCTTCGTAAAAACTACTCAAATTACAAAATTACAAATTACTTTTTTAGCTTGGCGGTATTGGTGGAATTATCCATAAATGCGGAGTCAGACAAGATCAAGGCAGTAAAACACATTTTACACAACACATTTAAAGATACTATAAACACTTTTAAAACTGTGTAAACAGCATTAATTATAGATTATAATTATAGAGCACCTATAGAGGAAACCCACGCCAACATGGGGAGAACATGCAAACTCCACACAGAAACACCAACTGACTCAGCCAGGGCTTCAACCAACAAACTTTTTGCTTTGAGGCGATAGCAATACCCACTGCGCACCATGATTATTTTACAAAAAACAATGTTCTGCTATTTTGAGTATAAAGATAACAGAAATATGCACAAATGCACGACTTTTTATCATTTCAAATGATGCCTCTTTTATCTGTACGATCAATAGATGATTTAATATATATAAAAAAAAAACACTTGCAAATTATGGAGAAACATTGTTAATTACCTAATTCGCGAACTGAACCGTCAGAAACCACAGAACAACACTGCCTAGTGCCTAAACATATTATTAATAAATTAAATATCACACAAATTAAGTTATGTCTTCTTACCATAATGTTTTTTTTTTCAGATTATAGACTGAAGTCTTGTAAAAAAAAAAGGGTTTCTGCAGATATCATAATGTCAAATTTAAGACTTTTTAAGACTTTGTCACATCTTTAATATTGTTCAATTTTATTGTTTAATTTTAAAAATAATTATTTTTCATTATTTTTATAATTTATTATGATTACAAAGTTGGGTGACGGGGTGGGGCAGTGGGTAGCGATCTCGACTCAAGGCAAAAAGGTCGCTGGTTCAAGCCTTGGCAGGGTCAGTTGGCATTTCTGTGTGGAGTTTGCATGTTCTCCCCATGTTGCATGGGTTTGCTCAAGATGCTCCGGTTTTCCCCACAGTCCAAAGACATGCATTTTAGGTGAATTAGGTAAGCTAAATTGTCTGTTGTTGTAAATGAGAACAGGTTGCAGCTGGAAGGGCATCCGCTGTGTAAAACATATGCTGGATAAATTGGCGGTTCATTCTGCTGTGGCGACCCCAGATTAATGAAGGAACTAAGCCAAAAAGAAAATTAATGAATGATTATAAAGTTTTATAACTTTTCAAGATTTTTTAAATCAAAGTTTGATGCATCACTCACTTTTGTTTATATCTCGGACAGTTCTACCTATTAAAGTTAAATATCAATGACAACAGAACATGGGTTACTCCACAATATTTTTTTTTTTATTCTGGCAAGAATAATAGCAACAAAATAAGATTTTTTTGCCTACTCAACAATTGACACATTATTGTCTGGCTAGTTTCTGTCCTCTACTAATGAGCTGAAAAGGCAATAATGGTCCAACAATCCTGTCCATCATCACCAATAAAGCCTAGAAATTGGGCATCAGTATACTGTAAGCCGATGGGTTTATATATTATTTTCCAGTTATCAAATACTTAATTTGTTACTTAATTTTTGTTACATTGCTTTAACTTCAAAATGATACATCAGTGTAAAACCTATAAATGGTGGAAAAACATTCTGTAATCTTAAAACTACCTGGGTCTCCACTTTTGCCATGGCCTCTTTTTTGTTGTAACAAACTTATCCCCCAGGTTTTTCCAAACTTTAACAAAACACTTCCTTTCCATGGCTGTTGCAATTTCTAGCCAAGAATTGTTGGTCATCTGGTTATCTCTATGCTGATCACGCGTGGTCGGAGTTAAGATGTCTGTACAGCTGTACTGTTACAGACAAAATCTCTTCAAAGCGATTCAAATTTAACTCAAATCAAGCGCGGCGCCGCGAGAACTGTTCACCCGAAATCATGTCGCCCGCGTCCAAAGTGAACCTCCGCAAACACGGCGATGACGTCACATTCGCCGCGCGCACTGAGCTATTGCATGCTGGTATTATTTGTAGTTTTAATACTGCAAATTACAATAGGACTAGTGAAATAAAGAACTACACCACCACGAAACCAAGCAACAACAAAAAAATAATTTAAATGAGCATTAGAAGTAGCGTTACTTGTACATCGGAAAAATAAGACCTGTGCAAACATATTTCAGATCTAGAACAGCGAATTGAAGACTTTTTAAGGGCTAAAATTTAGATGTATTTTAGACATCAAGTGTTGTTTTGGTCATTTTAAACCGCTTCAACCATTTCAGTATTATATTATATTAATAATGACCTCCAGAATTGTCAAGAGTTTCTGCACTCCGTGTCTCGCGCCTTCAAACGCCAGCGCGCGTTCACTGCGTGCAGGATTGCCTTCTGATGCGTCACTTATTAAATAAAGATAATTTATTCACGCAGCTTCTCCTACTGATGCTAATTCTGTTTTTACTTTTGATATTTGTCGCCAGTTAATCAGAAGGTGGCAATTTTGTTCTCTTTGACTTGATGGTCTTTTATGCGATATTCCAGTTTTGGGCATATATTTAATTAGCATTTTAGATGATAATATAGCTATTCACATCAGCACATCTGTCCCCTTTCTTCCCTATGTACCTGTAGGTGAACAGTTCCTCCGGGTGTGGCCATGCATTCATCCTCTGCTGTTTCTTCCTCATTTCTTCTGTCTTAAATCTCCATATGTCAATTGATAACTTTGTGACTGTTTGATGATGGTCAGCTCACGTAAATCTGCAGTAGCCTGAACTTGTTTTTCGGTTCAAATAATGTACCAGGCTTTTCATTGGTCCTTTAAGATCAGCTTTTTTTTATTGGCTACCGAAATGCTGGTCAGTGCGTGGCTGAAATATTAATTTATTTACAGTACTCTGTAACGAATTGTCATTATAAAAGTAACGAAGTAGATTACTCAGCTAAATTTGTACTCAAGTACAAGTAAAATTACAAGCTTAAAATTTTACTCATGAAAGTACAATTACCCCAAAAATGTACTTAATTACAGTAACGTGAGTAGTTGTAATTCGTTACTCCCACCACTGCTAATAACCTGATGGCGAAGTTTAAAGAACATCAAACTCCGAGCAGGCCATAAAATACATTTGACACCGCAAATTTATAGGCATATCCCACTAATAATAAGGAAGAAAACAATTAGGTCAATTAGAGTAGCCTATATGGCATATTAAACACGAACAGAATTTTCTCACGCACACTGTTGGGATATAGCCTATCAGGACGACTTTAGGAATATGATGTTCTTCTTTGTATTTATACATGAAGTCAATAAAGTAGCCTATAAAATGTGACCGCATTCATCATGAAATACAATTTATTCGTTATTCATTATTAATGTAGCCTACCCTCAAAAAATGACTTGTTCAAACTACTTATCTAACATGAGCTGAATCAACTCAACTCTTCAGGTTTTTTGAGGGGTAACTCAATTGTTTTATGTTCAATCCACTTAAATTTGTAAAAACGATTAAGCTAATAGATTTCTGTTGGGACAAGAATTGTGTGGAATCCAGCATTTTTACAGTGTATGGGATATATCGCCACTGTATGGCCTCAGAAAATTATTAGAATTATTAGAATATTAGATTATTCTTTGGCCCATGTGTAAATCGTATAAAATGTTTTTTTAACACAACATATTTCATCTCATTACAAAAAAAAAAAATTACAAAGACAAAAACATCAAAGAAAAAAACGATTACTGAATTAAAATATTTGTAAAGTATAAACATAAAAAATAAAATAATAAAGTATTATATAATTATCAAATAAATACTCATGATATAAAAGTTCATTTTCTACAATAGCAGAGTTTTTGTTACTTTTTTAAACAAATGCTGAGGACAGAATCCCTTAAGGTGATTAATTTCAGAAGTATTTTTTTAGATCAGAGAATGAAACTTATAGGCCTAGTCAACATTACAATGTTAAAAATGTTACATGTTCTATTTTGTCTTGAATCTTATAAAAACCCTCCACAAAGATCAAATAGCCTAATGTTAAATGAATTAAAAAATCTCCTAGCACCCCCTTGCGGACCCCACATTGCGGTCCTCGGACCCCATTTAAACTAAGGCATTAGACTGCGTATTCTTTTATCTGTAGTAAAGTAATCCAATGGTACCAACATAAGACAGTCTAGCTACGAAGTGACCGGACACATCAGCTTCAGAACCCAGCAGTGAGATGTTGGATTGAATGAGGAGGTGCACCGACTCGCTCACAATTTCTGAATTGAAACACCCTCTGTAATCATTTCTATTCATAATACAAATTTTTGTAGACATTTAGAATTAAAATCAAAAGATGTGTAAAAAAAACATGTATCTAGAAACTAGACAAACTCTTCAAGGAGCTTGATCAGTGCGTCAATAAAACTATACCCAAAAAACGAACAAATAAAAGTGACTTCAGAATAAAATACAAGAGTAAATTAAATGATATCATTTCTAAAAGATATGATTTCTGTTGTCATTACAGTGTGCATTGGGTCAGTTTTGAGCTGTCCTGAGTGAGGACGGGACTCACCTGTTGCTGTGCGCTCCTGTGTCCCGCTATAGAGATGAGTGGAGTGGAGTTTAATGCTGTGCTGCTCTGTCTCCGGCCACAGCGGCGCAAACACGCGCCTTAAATACACATTAGAACTTCCTGAACGCGACCGTGTTTGATCACGTCTCTCTCACACACACACATTTCACCTCATTTTCGGACGTGTCCGCAGCTATACACGACCTCCTGCGTTTTCTGTCAGCTAAAAGAGGACATCGTGAAAATGGAGCGAACTGCGTGCGATGATGTGGCCTGACTCTTCTTGACGCCCAGTGATCTAAATCACATTAGGATTTTTGACTTGTTCCGTGTGGGACGATTTTATATTTGTTCCAGGTGTGGTTTACTGCAATTATTCTTCCAGGAATAACATCCAGCCGACGCAGGGTGTTATTGCATATTCAAAAATACAGTCAAATTCATAAAGAAAATTACTTGAATACCTCCTAATTAAATGTGAGTCTTCTTGCTGCACCGTTAAGCTCCAAAAAGATTCATTTAAAGGCATTTAAAATGTAAATAATAAATACTTTATAGACCACTTCAATGTGGTAATCTCGTTGGCTCATGAATATTACTTGCTTGTTGTCAAACTATTTCATAACTGTAAGATAAGGCAATTCAATCATAACCTAATGTTAAAACAGTTATCATAGCATTATTTATCTATATGTGGCTTTTTGGGGGTTCTTGGAAGCTATAGAAATTAAAAATGTAATACAGGAAATATGTTGGGACCAACGTTTTTGTTTACATCTCTCAAAATGGTCTATAAATGTGTCGTGTACAAAAATATTTGACAAATATAAAATATTAACTTAATTCACATAATGCAAATTATACTAAATAACACGCATGTACGAATTTTTAGCTTTAAAATTAATATTTTTCAATTGGTAATATTTTGCAAGAACATAAGAGAATGATATTATTTACTACACAGGTAGTGTTACATTAAAATACTCCCATGTTTCACACTTTAAAGTTCATTATGACACTAACAAAAACATCATTTCATTTAAAAATGTAGCAAAACACTATAAAATAAAAGTATAAACTAATCTTAAAAATTTTATATACAGTCAACAGAGGTGGATTTAGTGATTTGGGAGCCCTAAGCAATTCCAGCCATGGGGTCCAAAAGTTTGTACTTAATTTTATTCTTAATTGATTTATTTATATCACTCAACCACCTTTTCTATATTTTGACTTTTTGCAAAATAATAACAACATGTAAAGTATCTTTTCAAATGATTTGTTTCATCATTTCACAACTAAAGTCGTATATCAACTATTTTTTTTTTATAGTTTTAATTATGTTGTAATTAAATATTTTACTTTTTTAAATTACGTTTTTAAAACTAAATCTTTTCCAAATTTGACTGCTGGACTGCTCCATGATTGAGGATGGGGGACACATTTGCGCAGAACAAAAAAAAATGTAACTTATTTTTTAGACTCCTGTCATACAAAATATGATAAAAAAATTATTTATTCATTCATTCATTCATTTACTTTTCGGCTTAGTCCCTTTATTAATCTTGGGTCGTCACAGCGGAATGAACCGCCAACATACCCAGCATTTGTTTTACGCAGCGGATGTCCTTTCAGCTGCAACCCATCTCTGGGAAACATCCATACACACACTGTAAACGATTTCTGTTGTTTTCACGGTATTATACTGCATTTGTCAACAGTTGTTTACTGTATAAGCTGTGCACAGTGTGTTACTGTATATATTGCTGTTTTCACAGCATGATAATGTATTCTCAACATTTCCATACTGTGAACATGATTAACAGTATGCTACTGCAGATTTTACAATGAATTTTGGGAAAAAATCAGTTACTGTGCATCTAAATACAGTACTGCAAATGACCATGAAAAACTCTACACACACTTTATATTATTATTATGTTTATTTTTTTTGACAAAGTATTTTGTGAAGAAAAAGAAAATAACCTATTTCTTCAGACTGTTCAGTGCATAAAGCTGTCCCCTGGTTTTCCATATTTGGGTGTACTGCACCTTAATTTTATAAGGTTAACATGAAAATATTAAATCATTTTTAATCAACATAAATTTGTGCTTAACCAAAACGTAAACTGGAACAAAAGTAATTGATTCATGAAACCAAAGTTAGCTTAAATGTCAAAATGACCAGCCTGCTTTAGACGGATTCATGAGGATTGGGCACCCGTCATCACCATGGAGGTCACATATCTCCGCATTATCAAAACAATATTTTAAAATACCCACCATCTCTAAAAATAAACCACAGACTTGAGTTTAAAACAACTACATTCCCGCATGAAAAACGGTTAAAACTAAATTTCATAACACATTCATTATAGAGCCATCTAAGACCGGGGCAAGTTTCACATGTCTAGCCGATTATAACCTCGTTTCGCCGGATACATGAGTGATGATGGACACCCTGGAGGTCAGAATCTCCGCTATCGGCAAAGCACGCTTACAATTTACACATGATATCTATAAATAAACCACAGATTTAAGTTTGTAAGAACTACATTCTCGCATGAAACACTGTTAAAATTTCATTTCGTGACATATTAAACGCAATATTTATAATATTAGCTGGGCTTTCTCATCCGCCATTACCATTTGCTTGTTGATGTGTAATGAATTCTGGGAGAAAAAAATATTAATTCTCAAAACACATTAAACGAACTTTATTCGTATTGTCAAGGTCAGATATATGTAATAATTTCGCTGGTAAAGTGAATAAAAAACAATGTTACTATATTGTAATCAATTTCACGTTTGCACTGGTTCGGTTCAGCACTCGAGCGACTCTGAATCGTATTGAACCGTTTGCTCGGGAATTATTTGATCACACGTGTTCACAAGCACATTCAGCAATATGCAATTAGTGTATGATTAGTGTATAAATGCGTGTATCCAAGCAGTATTAAGAAATAGTAATGAATCATATACAAAAAGGAATCTGTTTTAGGCGGATTCGATTCTTTACTGTTCACTAAGGAGCCGATTCATAGAACCGAACGGACACGACTCGACATGCAGGCAACGGCTCTCCTAATTTGAAATTCACCTGTCGTCTTTCATCCAGCGAATTCATCCTCGGTAAGTGTTTTAAAGTCAAATTCTGTCCGTTAAAGGATTGTTTTATAAGTATTTCTGTGTATTGAGTGTGTAATTTAAAAAAATTAACCAAGTGACATTAGTTGTAGGTTCTTATGTTATGTCACGCTATCCGTTAACAAACGGTATTTTAAACAAGAAATAACAGACGCCAGGCGGTCATTGTAGTGTTTGCGAGGTATTAGATACAGTAAGTTTATCTTGAGTGAGTTTTTGACCATACGCTAAGTTACCTGAAAAACATAACTTCAACTTATTGTAACTGCATTAATGAATTCTCTATTTCAGCACAACACTGAGATGAAGGCGAAGTCACCATGAAAAGTTAAACGTTTACCGTTAAGGTAAGCTCTGGTCTTCACATAACGTTAGTCATTATGACTAAGTTAAGCTATCATTATGGTAAAATTTTTCAACTGTAAGTCAGTTATTTAAACTAAACTCATAATGAAATGAGTCTTAACTGTTTTATTAAATGGAGCTGAAAATTAAATGCAGTTGAATTATTTTAAGCTAACGTTAATATTAACAAAATACATATTAATTGTCTATTTCTCAATTATGTTAATGAGCTTGATGTATAGTGTGTCATTAATTGTACATTTAATTTTTGGTGTTCAGGTGTAACTGAGGTGAGTGTACGTTCTGAGTACACAGATATAAGCCAAAGTCATATCCATCCTAATCTAAGAGAAATTGATGGGGTCAGGGAATAATTTGTGTACAAATGTATTTTAACCCCATACAGATTGGTATGGTTGTACCATAGATTTAGATTAATTAATGTTAAGTCTTATTTTACTCTTATTATATTTATCTGTTTTTCAGCTACAATAATTGATGTTGAAAAACTGATGCAACCAATCACTCCTCACTTGATTATTCAAGGTAATGTCGATGTCTTCCTCATTTTGATTAGATTTTTAAATGTCAAGTTGTTCACAGATTTGTTGTGAGGAGTTTCATGTACAACCTCTTTTTCTTCTTCCAGCAGTTCCTAAGAAAACTTTAAGAAAAAAAAAATCTGGTGTTAAAACAGCCACGGCTATGCTATTTGCCTACCAAGTGCTGAGTAAATATTAGACAAACATTTTTTTCTTTAACTGTTGTCTTTGTGTTTATTAGTAATTTTACTGGGCGTATGTGTTTGTTTGTTTTCAAACAGCCTGGAAACTGTAAGTTTAGTTCAATATGTTATTTTATGCTATTCATTTTTGTCTTAACATGGATTGCATGTTGAAGCTATCGTTTTATAGTGGGAAAATGTAAAAGAGAATCACTGAATACAATGGCATAAGGATTCTGCTTGTTCAAAGAAGGTACTTGATTTAGTTTTCCTCAAGCGACACATCAGTTTTTATGACTATTGCTTGACACTTGAATTGAAGGGACAGTTCACCCCAAAATGAAAATAATAGCATCTTTGGCATCCTCCACTTGTTTCAAAATAGTTATATATTAATTTGTTCCGTTGAACACAAACTCGTATTTTTTAAAGAAATTTGGTTCAAATATGGATGTCAATAGTTACTGGTTACTAACATTCTTCAAAATATCTGCTTCAGTGTTTAACAGAAATTCAAACTAGTTTAAAACACGTGGAGTAAATAGTGGCAAAATAGTAAACTATTCCTTTAAATATTTTATTCTGAGACTTTTATTTATATTTGTCTTGTCTTTTGTCATATTGTCCTTCTAGCCCAGATTGTGATGGACCTGGAATGCGACACCAGTTACTCTTAAGACAAGAACCGAATAAAGCACAGATGTGGAGGGATTTGCAGCCAAACTAACTGGAGGGAAGGAACCTTTAGGTAAAAGCACCTGCTTTATTTAGATCTGAAGTATTTTATTTGACAGAGATTTATTGTTTTAATTCTAATTTAAAGCAAACAAGGTTGAGCACCCCTGGTCTAAAAGCTCAAAA